AAATATTCGGGTGTTTGAGGATTGGTTGTGCATTGTTTGATTGGTTGGTAACTAACAAGGGTAAATTCGGAAGCTAATTTTCAAAAAAACAGTCTTTTTAACTTACTTTTGGCTTATAACTAAATATATGAATTTCATAAATTTCTACGTACTTAATTAGAAATGCAAGGCTAGTTAAAAAAACCATTTTTGTGAAAATTCGTTTTGCAATAAATTTTCGTAGAAAATTTTTTGATAATCCTCGATCATGATTGGCCGATTTTGGGGTCAAAACAAATCAGCCGATATGATAAAGGTTTAATTTTTAAAAAATATTACATATAAGGACCCAAAATAACTGCGATATTATTCAAGCATTGATAAATGTAGTTATTAAGTGCATAAAAAAATGTAAGGTCGATTGAAATTTGAGAACATTTTTAAATTTAATGAATTTCATTTTTTTTGTATAAAGTTGCTTATTGTTATAGCAAACCACTATAATACCAAGTAAAGCACAGCGAATTGGTGTGATATTTGCTAATATATGTCATAGTACTTTGTAGCGCAATAATTCAATAATTATATTTTTTTAGCCATCAATAGATCTGGGCCCTTATATATAATTTTTTTAACAATTAGGCCTTTATATATAATTATTTTTGATTTGGGTCTGTATTTGTAATTATTTTCACTTTTTGGGCCCTTATTTGTAAATTCTTCTTTGTTTTTTGACAATGAGACATGACTGAGTACGCCCCGAGTTTACAAAATCATTACATGAGCCATTCAATTGATTGAAAAAAAATTTTTTTTTTATAGTATGGAACAGTAAAAGATATTCAATTTATACATATAGATCCCAACTTTTGGAGCTTATATATTCAATTCTGAGAGGGTTTTTTGATTTAGCTTGTTTTAAGAAAGTTATAACACTTTAAATAAATATTGGATGTGTTTTACTGTCCGTTACTATACGAAAAAAGATATAATGTGTGTATTTTTAAACTTAATTGTAGTTGGAGAGAATAGTGTTTTCCTTCACAAAAAAAAATACTTTATTTTACTTAAACAGGATGGAGATTTTGTCAATGATTGGGATACTTGGATGAATAAGAAGAATATGATAACAGTGCCAACTAGCCACGATGAGGTTGATTGCATAAATGAAATATCACTGACTAAAATTGATCCTATGGATGAAACATTTCTTGACCATCACATAGGTGATGAATTGTTTATCAAAAATGATTCTTGGACATTGAGATTTAGAAAAAATGTTTTAGAGATTTTAAACAAATATTGCAAACCAATTCCAATAAAACATGTATAACTTTAGTAGGTATTTGTAATTTTTATAAATAATACTATTTCAATATGCACTAATAAATTTTTTTTTCATCTTAGCCCAGCATATTTTGGCATTAGAAGAAGATATTGAAGTTTGAAATCTTTTTTCAGATTTGGAATGGGAAGAAATAGTTGCCGATTTTAATATTAATATAAAACTTGAAGATCTATAGGAAGAGGAACAATATCTACTATTCAATCTAATAGATAAAATATCACAAGTAAATTTGATAACTATCACAATTATATTATTACTTAGATTGCGAAAAAATGTTATATAAGTTATGAGTATTGCTAATTTTAATCAGGAGGAAAATTACCAGTGTGTAATTAGCCAATAAAATTGCAGGATCAGGTGTAATGTGTAAGTTAATTTTGTATAACAAAAACAAAGAATTTTTTAAAAAATCGTAAATATCTCAAAAATTTGCTTATAAACCCCCTTTTTGGGTTCTAACAAAAAAAATTCCCTTTAAATTTTGCATATAATTTATGCCCTGCTCTAACCCTAATTAAAGGTCGCAACCCTTACTCTAAACTAAAAGAAAAGAATTTTTTTTAAAATCTGTTTATCTGATCTACATGTTACACAAACCAGTAATTTCCTCTCCAGTTAAATGTATATTAATTTTTATATTTTAAAATACAGGTTTTAAATATCACAACAGAGGATGTTGTAACCGAAATCAAAAAAACTTGCATGTTTAAAGTATGTTAAATTTTTGTTATCATTTAAATTCTATTCAAGATCTCATTTATTTTATATACAAAGGCAAACCCAAAAATAAATGCGATTAGGTATTTTAATTCAGTTATAGTAAGTTTCTCTATTCTCAATATATATATTTTTTTAATATTACTGAAATTCACTTATTATTATTTGATTAGTTTTTATAATTTAGAATGAATATTTGTTTCTGAATCCAAAGCTCATTTTTCGAGCACATTTACAAATTTGATCACCAAAGAAATCATAACCTATAAGCAGTGCTTCAATTATAAGCAGTGCTTCAATTATGATAAGTATATTTAAACTCTTAGTCAATATTGTAAATATGATATTAACAGTTTTTTATTGTTTAGAAAAGAAATCCAGAGCTTAGCCTCTGTGTTTATAGCTAATATGCTATCTAGGCCAATAGACCATAGTATTATTGAACAAAAATATGATTTCTGTATACGTAAAGATGGATTTAAAGCCCTGATTGGATTAAGGTCAAGAAGTTTATCAGAAGTACACAAATCAAAAAATGGTTAGACAAAGTAGATCTTTCTATAGCAATGAGGGATGTTCTTCTTAAAGAAGGCTTTGAAAATAATGGTGTAGATATCGAAGAATATCGTAAGCTATTTACCCTAGGTGTTCATTCATATGGTAAATAATTTTAATATATTTGAATGAAATATTGTTATAAAAATTTGATCAGTAATTAATTATGGTTTATTAAAAGAGTTCAACTATAATGTATATGGGATGGACCAGTGTTGGGTTATGACCTTAAATGACCAATATGACCTATATGACCTTTATGACTTTTTGGTCATAATAAAAATTGA